GTTCCTTCCTTGGACCACTTTTGATAGAAACTGACCACTGCAGACCGGGAATATCCCACAAGAGCTGCAGTATTAGAGATGCTCCAACCGAGTCAACCTTGTCAAATTTCCTGAAATCCTCAGACTTGCACATTTTTCCTGCTAACCCTAACCCTCTAACACATCAGCTCTGATGACTAAATGTTCACTTGCTCTCTGATATATACCACTCACTAACATGTGGCATGATGAAGAGCCCATGCTGATGCTGATGGACATTAATTTCAAAGACTCTAAATAGGTTTGTGATTTGTAAGAGCAGAATAATTATGTACTATTCGTTTACATTAGACTTACAGTAGACATTAGACAAGTTTGTAATGCTGTGCTGTCAGCAGAGATACATCAGGTTTCATTTGAGATATTAACAGTCTTACTGCCTTTTATTTCTTTGAGCGATCTGGTCCTTAGTTGTTTAATTCCCTTTCTTCTTTTCTTTTGGGCTCATGGTCACGTTCCCTCTCATTACAGTAACAAAGGCATCGACCACCTGTCCTCTATGAAGAGGAAGAATGTGGTGCTGGTGTACGACCTCCTCCTGGAGATGCTGGATGCCAACACAGCCAGCAGCAGCAGTCAAACATCATCATCCTCGCCTGGCTCTGACACTTACTCTGAACAGCAACAGTTCCCCCCACCACCGTCTGACCTGCAGCCAGGCCCGGACCAGATGGCTACAGCTGCTGACAATACCACTGTGCCTCCAGCGGAAGTCCCGGTCCTGGACGGACATCTGCACACCCTTCAGCCTACATCTCCATCACAGAATTTAGCGGGGTCTCACTTGGACAGCAACAAGTAAGTTCTGTTACTGCACTTAAAGCAGACATGTGGTTTTAAAGTTTATAAACAAAGAAAGGTGATGGAATAGAGGATAAGAAGGGAGGATAAACTGAAGGAAAAAGGAAAAAACTATGTAGGTAGAAGCTACTGGCAGGCGGATGGTGGATGTGTAGAAGACAAGAAAAAGGGAAGACAGGAGGCAAATGAGAAGAAAAGGAAGGTAGATGAGGAAAAAGGTAAAAGTCAAGAAAGAGATAGAAGCTTTTATGAAGGAAGACAGAAGGAAAAAATGCAGCAATAAAGGAAAGAAGCACAGTATTGATGGACAGAAGGAAAAAGAAAAATGAAAGGCAAGTCAGCTTGACCCACAAGTGTTACACAAAAGCCTACAAGTTATAATAACAATCCAAAAAGACATGCATATATCATCAAATAAGTACAAAATAACATTACAGAACAGTTACAGAACAAGACGATGTACAAAAAACATCTCAGTTATAGTGAGGTACTCTCTGATTGCTGCCTCAGTTTTTAATGTGTCTATGTGGCCATTAACAACTTTCATAATTTAAATGATTGTTTTTCATCAGGAAGTAGCCAGTGTTTCTTAGTATGTTTGGGTTAACTGGAGGGAACTCATAATAAATGATCATCATCATAATAACAATTATTATATGGCCTGTAAATGGCCTGTATTGTATAGCGCTTTACTCAGTCTCTAAGGACCCCAAAGCGCTTTACACTACATTCAGTCATTCACCCATTCACACACTGGCGATGGCAAGCTACATTGTAGCCACAGCTGCCCTGGGGCGCACTGACAGAGGCAGAATGTTAGGTGTAATAACAATCTGCATGTTGTCTGCATAGTTGTGGTAAAATACCCAGCCTCCTTTCTTCATGTTTTGATTCCAAGGAGCTTGATTTTCTTGTTATTTCTTAAATTTGTCTCAAGCAAAAGTTCTCCAGGTTTTCTGAAGGTCTTTCTTTGGCTGCTTCTTCTCTCATTTTCAATTCTGTCCTTGAACTTGACTATTCCAGAGCAATGTTTTCTGGTTATTAACCCTAAAACACCAATGTGCACTTTTGTAACACTATCACTTTCATGTGGGTGAAAGTCACCCAGTTTTAGTTTTCTCGGGTTAAGCCACTTAGCACTATGAACCTATGAATCTGAGCATTAAAAGCTGTCCTTCTGATCCACTACTTTGCCCAAAGCATTTGCTTGTCTGCCTTGGAACCCTGAACACAGTCATCCAGCATAATAAATAAAACTTTATTGCACATGAACACTATTGCACAGGATGTCATCCATTGCAATGTACTCCCCTTCGGATTTTTGTTTTAAAACACATATGAACTTGAGCGACATCCTCTTCTTAATCCTTGGGCTTTAATATAATGCCAGCCCAACTATAAAAGGTGTTATATCACGCTGAGGTCCGGACTGTGCAGGCCAGTCAAGCTCTTCCACACCAAACTCGCTCATACATTTCTTTATGCTTTGTGCACTGGTGTGTAGGGGCCATCCCCAAACTGTTCCCACAAAGTTGGGACTAAGAAATTGTCCAGAATGTTTTGGTCCTGCTGACGCATTAAAAGTTTCTTTCACTGGAACTAAGGACTGAAAAGCAACCCCACACAAAACTCGGCCATTGGATTGCCAGAGAACATGTGGCCACTGCTTTAGAGTCCAGTGTTGCTGTGCTTCACACCCTTGCATCTAAAACTTTGCATTGTGCTTCATGGTGTAAATGGTAATGGACTGATTCTTATATAGCGCTTTTCTACTCTCCCGGAGTACTCAGAGTGCTTAATACAACATGCCACATTCACCCATTCACACAAGCACTTTCTTCTATGATTTTAAGTGCTTATTAACTAACATTCACAATCTGATGGACGCATCGGAGAGCAGCTTAAGGTCAATATCTTGCCCAAGGATACTTAGCATGTAGTCTAGAGCAGCGGTCCCCAACCTTTTTTGCGCCACGGACCGGTTTATGCCCGACAATATTTTCATGGACCGGCCTTCGCGGATAAATACAACAAAATAGAACTAGTACCGGTACCGAAAAAAAGAAGATTTATTTATAACACACGTGAAAAGACCCAGGAAAACTGAGTTAACGATAAAAACGAGAACAAAATAACGCTGAAAACCGATAAAAACCCTGAAAACCATACATTGCACACCTGAGCCTCAACTCTCTCGGCCCGGTAGCAAACGACTCACGGACCGGTACCGGTCCGAGGCCCGGGGGTTGGGGACCGCTGGTCTAGAGGGAACCAACATTAGATGACCTGCTTTGCCTCCTGAGCTACAGCCACCCTGGCGTGATGTCAGGCTGGGATGCAGCTGCTTGACGGATGGAAACTCGCTCCATGAAGCTCTCTGTTTTTGAGCTAATATCATGGTCACGAGAAGTTTTGAGGTCTGTAGTGATCGACTCTACAGAAAGTTGGTGACCTCTGCAGTGACCTGTATGATTTTGCATGGCTGCCTACCACTGCATGGCTTAGTTGCTGTCATTCCCAATAGCTTCCTTTTTTTTTTTATTATTACACCACTAACAGTTGATTGTGGATTATTTAGTTGGGAGGAAATTTCACCATTGGAATTCACTGAGCTCCTGAGAACGACCCATTCTTTCACAAATGTTTGCAGAAACAGTCTGCATGCCTCTAAGCATGGTTTTATACACCTGTGGCCATGGAAGTAATTGGAACACCTGAATTCAGTGATTTTGAGTGGTGAGTGAATAGTTTTGGGAATATAGTGTATTTATATCCAAAAGGCAGTTGAAACTGTAAAAAATGCCAAAGATAAAACAGTTTGATAGGAATAAAATAGCATTTTTAAAACAAAAAGGTGATTCTCAAATGAAGAATAAAGTTGCTCATGACAACTGTTGATTTTCAAGCTTGTTAGAACTGAACTCTGTTGTTGTCTTATACTTTCCATGTGTCTATTTCTATTTTTTTGTAGCAAAAGTCTAAAAAAACAAGGGGTATCTCAAGACTTGTGCACTTAAACATCCCAAAACGAACTTTAACTTTATTTCATGTCCAGAGTGCTTAAGAATACCAAATCATTCCCTTCCTCTGGAAAATAACTGTAATAATTTCCCTCACAGTTACATTTCTGCGGAGGACCTGTCACTGGATAATGGGGATGCAAGTCCAGGTCCATCGGTGGAGCCAACAACCTACGTCATCCCTGATAGAGTTGTCACGGAAACAGCTTGAGAGTGACAGAACTGACTGAGGCTAAACCTTAGTGGATATTCATCACCCAAAGATTGGAAAAAAAACCATTAAAAAAAACAAAACAGAAAGCGCTGTTGTGAGGTAAAGTTTCTCTTGTCGAGATTTTTGCAGTCTTTAAAAAGAATTTTGATCGAATGTATATTTTGCGTGCGTAAATATTTCTTGTGAATGTGCACTACCATCGCTGTTCATAAGGACATCACTGGCTGGCTGCCCGGCAGCCTGTGTGCGTTTTTTTTTTGATAAACAGTATTATTATTGCTTATTTGTATCTCTTTTTATCACCGTGATGTAAGATCCAGAACAAGCCATCTACAAACCGTCTCCACTCACTCATAAGGGCGCACTTGGCCAACAAGTCAACGTTCATTTCTGTAAGATTTGTTAGTTGTACAAGGACGTAAAAGGACGCTGTTCTCTGTCACCCTATTGTGTTTTTTCTGCTTTTATTACTGTGCACTTTGGTGTTTTAATCTGTGCCTGTTTACGCTGGAATTTTCTACAGTCTTTGTACTTATCTGTTTGTGGATTAGATCAGCAGTATGTGGCCTTTTACCAAAATGACTGTTAAACTTGTTCTGTTTCTCTGGTTAAACTAATGCTGAATTTATACAGTAAACAGTGGCACAGACCCCTTCTGCAAAGGCTACCAGCAACATTTGAAAAAAGGAAAATTTCACAATTTAGTCATAGTACTACATCTAATCTGATATAATGAGCTTTAGCAACTTTTTCTCAGACTGTTAGATTTAGAATCAAAACAGCCTGACTGCCTTAAACAAGCCATACCTGAGCCATATGTTTGTACAAGCTAAAATGCACAAAATTAAATTACTTTACAACAACAGAAACTTAGTTTTTTATACTTGATTTCAGCACTTGAACTTTATCACACTTGAAGCTACTGATCTTGGCTTTACTAATATGCTAATGGTAACACTGGTCACTGTGACATCACCCGATGGTTGGTGAGCCCCCATGATGAAGCCTTGAGTGAAGAGTTGTCATTGTTGTCTGTTACAAAGAAATTTGGAGATAAGAAAAGTCTAACTCGTTTTAACTATGAAAATGACATAAATATCTTAGATAATCCTCCTTTTTAAAAATGCCCAGAATTGAGAAAATTTACTACTTTTTTCATTATTAATCTTAAACTACTGCCTGAGCCCATAGTGTTTATTTAAGTCACAGAGTAAGCAGTTCTTGACAGATGTAAAGTCGTTGTGTAGCCAGGCAGATTGCCCCCTGCTGGTCATTAAAAATAATGTAGATGTGTAAGGTACATGGGTGTTTGCTCCTCCTGTCAGAACCTGGGAGCTTTTCCTTCCCACTGTTGCCAACTGCTTGCCCATAGGGAGTCTTTGTATTGTTGTAGGTTGTAGGGTCTTTACAGTATAAAGCACCTTGAGGGAATGGTTGTTGTCATTTGGCACTATATAAATAAAGCTGAATTAAATGACTTAGCACTGTATGTCAGCAGTGTAACAGTAAGACACCAAAAAAGAGAAAATGTGTTTGTTACACGTTGCAGATTTATCCATGTTCTTAGCTGTAACTTCTCACGTAGACACATTGAGCTTTGGCATCAGTCCAGAATCGCTCTCTGTTTTCAAGGTTGAGAAACTGTTGGCTGTTGGTATTTTCCTTAAGGGCTCATTTGTGTGTCTTCTTTGCTTTATGAGCTCATTAACCACATAAGTTGAGAGAACAGCCTGTTACTTGGAACATCAAAACTGTAAACAGCTTGTTTTCCGTCACACAAAGCAAACTAAAAGGAAATAAATGTACCATTAATGTACTTTTTGGACATTCCCAAGTCATAAAATGTGCCACTTGTGTGCCAGTGTAAATTTAACCTTAGTGCCAGATTATTTAACCACTGTTAATAGACCAATATATGTTCACTCTGCTTTATTTCCTGATGTTTGTGGATTGTGCACACATGAACACACACCCAAATCTGATGCTGAAGCTGTTTCTGTTGGCAGTCTGTGCACGCCGCAACCATTCATGTCAGATCTTGTGGATTTTTTTCGCCTGTCTTTTCTGTGAACTCACAACCAGCAGCAGCAGCAGCACATCGTGGCAAACATGGTTTATTGTCAGTTCGAAATTACAAACAGTACATCCCATAAATAAGAGATCACAAAATAAATCAAACTTTACACACCTTTTGTTGTTTCTGTTCTGTGAGGCTTTTGTGCCGAGGCTGAAATTATGTACAGTTTTGAATTGCTCATAGAATCTTCTTTATAACATTTATCAGTAACTTTAACAGTAAATTACACACATTTAATGATCTTTGATTGTGCATGGACACAGCTACATTCACGTCTCAAACGATTTCTTACATTCAAGTTCAACTCAAATTGTGCCGTGTGGCTCTTGAGACCCGCTGTTCATCTGCACTGGAACAAAAAACAATTCAGAAAAATCTCATGTGTACGTAATAACGGGTGATCGTTGCAGACTTTCGCGTCATTGGTCGAGTTTGGATAGCCCTGCTCAAGTTTAAAACCTCAAAAAAAAAAGCTGTACAATTTATGATAAATACAGCTCAAAATAAATATAAAATTCCCTTTCATAATACATGGGTGAGGTTACATAAAACAAAAAGTCACATACAGGGCCAAAACCACAGTCAACTACCAGGTCTGTAGATGAATTGTGTTTTTAGCCTTTGGGGGTTGTTGTTGTTGTAAAGCTGCACATCGACTTTGTGAGGAAACTGTCATGAGCAAATTTGACAATAATATTTACCCGCTCCCTAATATTTTAGAAGTAAAAATGGCAGTTACCTTTGGAAGAGAATTTGTTCCTACAGCTGTTAGATTTTTATATTCATTTATATTGTTTAGTATAACAATTTTAATTATCTGTCTGAGCTACGGGACACCTGAGAGGATGAATTAAGTATATATGCATTGCTGGCTAGCCCACCAACTACCTGTGAACCTGCAGCTCGTTCTTTTAGGCAAAAAGTGCCAAACAGCAGGTTAACAAAGTTAGCTGCTAGCCAGTTAATGTGCAACTTTGTCAGGAAACAGCAACCACAGCTGCATCAAGGTGACTCTTAGGTTGAGTGATCGGCTAAAATATCACATGTATATCATAGGAAAATATTCATCACACTGACTCTTAAAAGTTTGTTTATCAAATTTTCAATATATCAACTTAAGAGTTTTTAAATGACAACCCAGCTAAATAGCACAGTTGAAAGCAACAATTTACCCTTTTTTCTTAGTAGTTTGCCGTTATATACAAGATTCATTTATAACATTAAAAGAACATTATGAGTTAAACGAATGGTTGTTCTGTTGGATACACAAAGGCATGTCTGCTGAGGAGTCACTGCCATTATTTACAAGAAAAAAAAACAATTTTTCCTATTTTAAATATTTCAAAACCCAAATAAGAAAAAGAACACGCGTCTTTTCCTTTCTGTACAAAATGTGCTTTTAACAAGTGCCCCCCGAACCTAAAGAAACCCCCTAAACAAACAAAATCGGTACAAATAGCTGCAGTGGTAGAAAATGGCTGGTGTACTCCTCACATTTCTTCAGTTGCTTTGGTAATAACCGCCCTCGAATCCCTCATACCGCACTATACAAAATAGAAGATATCAAAATAAATCGTGGAGCCTTTTTTCCTTTTGCACCGTCTGAATCTGAAAAGTGTGAAATTGTTTCAGCGGGGAAATCAGCTGGCAAATCTACAATCTAAAAATCACAACTTAAACACAGCAGTGATATGGCTTCTTGTTAAGGAGCATAAATAAATAAATAATTTAGTACAGCATTAAAGTTTAGAGTGAAGAACACATGATTCTTTCAGACATGAAGAACTGTGCTTCATTTTTGTATGGGAGGGAGCAGGTACATGACCCGTCACATTGTTAACGGTGTCTATTTGGGATTTTTACCTCCAATATATGGCTGTTTTTGTTTTTTTTCTACTATCCCTTTATAAGGAGAACATGGACACAAAGTGTGGCAGTGATCATGTGGGTGGGGGGCCGTTGGTGTAGTGCAGCATGGGGTAGAAAGATCGGGCAAAGTTGTTGGTCAGTGTACAGCTGTAGTTCTCTTCAGAGAGAGGCACCAGGCAGGCCAGAACCAGGAGCATGAAGAAGAGCAGGTGCAAGGGGAAAGCAGCTCGCAGAACCCGGTAGAAGAGGGGTCGCTGTGGGGAAGAGTCCTGTCTCTCCTCCCTGCAAGTGGATAAATGTTGAGAGGGGAAAGAGATGTTTATGTTGTTCACCAAACAGAACAAAAGTCAGAAACAACATCTTTATTCTCAAATCCGCAATATAAACAGCCGTTTTGCACTTTGAGATCTAAGATTGTAGTTTTTATTTGTTTTTTTTTTTTAGAATAGTGACTGATTTAAGGTTCATTTAACTCTAATTAAATAAAAAGTTACCTTTTGGTTGCTGATTGTCCGACCGGAGCTGCCTGCAGACCAGCCTCCTCCTGAATCAAAGAAAAAAGCACATGTGTTTATCACTTGGACAGCGGCTGACAACACTGTACACAATGGTAGAATGGTGTGTAATGAGAAAGTGAATTTTGCTGAATTTTTGCAGAAAATAGAGATTTTTGATAGGAAACTGATCTCGAAGCACACTGGGAGAGATATCTGTGCAGGAAGTGTGACTTTATCGCGGTGGAAGCAAAACAGTGAAGGTAAGACAAAATTCATGACAATTTTTTCCAAACATCTTCTTTTGCTGCTGGTTCAGTGACTTTTGGTCAGGGAGTGATCAAACCGGCAGTCTGAGAGAGGTCGGCTTTCAGCACCCAACAGCATGTTCGTGTATGTGCCACGGGCTAAACGATTGGCGCTTTTTGTTTGGTTCAGTGGTTGTTGAAATGGGTTTGTGAGCTTTTTAGCTGAGATTGTGACGTTTCTGTGGATACCACACATGTCTATATTTAAATAACAGATCTCACAGTACATCCCATTAAACCAGATCTTCTCCTTCTTGCCTCTGGTATGGGGGGCACTGGGGGTCAACACATTAATTGCTTATTGCTTAATTACTTTGTGTAGTATGAATGGCCATAAGGGAGGTTTTTATCAATAGGAAAGCTGTAAAACTTATGAAAATGCAGTAAAAAGTTCAAAATTGATGCTTGTGTTTGTTGTGGTGAGCAGCACATAAAACTAGTTATTCTAAATGGCTTCAAGCGCACATTCAGACCTGAGAGACTCATTTAGACACTGATCCATGGCTCTGTGTTACAAGCACACATTTCAGCATCTCTGCTTTTCAAGGACACTTTATATATAGTCTTTTTTATGTAATACACAGTACTGAACTTTTTCTAGGAAACATTTTTTTACAGATTTACTACCACTGGGGAAACAAGGACAAGTTTGAAACCTTTTGTCCTGCACAACCGAAAACTGCTGAAAATTAAAACGGGTATGACTTTATCCAGCTCCTAGTTTAGTTTTTATAAATTCTGCACTCTGCTTTGTAGACTCCCATATCATTGAAATGCAGCCAGATGCTGCTCAGTTTATGTTTTCACTCCTTTCTTTGCGTTTTCCCGACTCGCTTGCATTTAAAACGGGCTCCCAGTCTGTCTGTGTACCTGGCCTGTACCACTGCACTTGCTGTCCCAAATACCGATGGGCCACTGATAACTGACATATGAAATTATCCCACGGGGTGTATGTTTGACACCCCTGCTTTAAAACTCCAAGACATCTTTGGTGAAGACCCCAACCCTAACTAAACCTAAAAACTAGGCAATCAGAATATGTTTAGAAAAAAAACTCCAAAAAAAACAGATAGCAATTTTTGACTTTCCCCCCAAAAAGTCTGTTTCAGAGGGTTAAATGTATTATGGTCTCATATAAATGTTAAAAACAACAACAAAATGACCTTCAGTGGGCTCTTTGCTCACTGCCCAGCACTGTGGAGTCCAACTGGCATTTAAATGGTATTGGTAAGGAGTAACGCCACTCCCGAGATCAATTTAATTTATTTATATGGTGCCAAATCCCAACAAGAAATGCCACAAGGTATCTGTGATTGTGGGGTAAGACAAGTTTCCCTCGAGGAAAATCAGGATTTGCTTTGCTTGTTAGCTAGGTAGACCCATTGATCGCAAGCAAAACAGAGCAATACTTGTTTTTCTTTATTGTGACCAGCGTGTCTAATGAGTCACAAATACACAACAGTGACTGTGCAGTTTACAAGTTTTACAGTTTAACTACTGTTTACTCTCATTGTTAAGTCAGGGTTTGTTGGGCTGTTCAGACTTTCCGAGCTGGAAGTCCGAGTTGAGGGGAATCCCAGATGAAAATTCTAATTGGGAACTGGGAAATTTTGACTTAATGTGTAACACATCACAAGACTTTTGCCTCAAATGTAATTTGAGATGAAATCAAACATCCACACTACCAGCATGCCAGGTGAATGTGTGCATGTTATCAGTGTAGCTAAAAATTGCTCAGTCTAAACACGAGTAAATTTACTATTTTGATATTTTGCATTAATAAGAATGTTAGACCTATAGTGTATAAAAAGCATGTCAAGCTTATTAAACACAGTAACACATTTTGTGTTACGAGAAACATTTTCAGAACAGATTAAAAATAGAAAAAAGTAATTTTGCGTGTGTCTGTGGCACCCCTGCTGGCCAAATTACCAAAATGTTCCTGTGTACCAAATGTACTCTAGACTGGTTCAAATGTGGAGAGTATGCAGTGAAAAATACAGTTATTAATATGGTGGATGTTCAGTGGATGAATTTTCTTATTTATTCACTGAGCATTTAACACATCACACTGCTAAAATGATCACGTTCTGAAATACATGTTCAATTTTATTCTATTTTACTGCAGCTTCTGAACAGTCTAAATTAAAGGTAAAGAACAAGGTGTACCTGTTGCAGGAGCGGTGAGCTGAGCTTTCCCAGACCGATGCTTTCTACTTCAGAACTGGTGGAGCCGGTTTCCTGAGACAGTGAGACAAGACTCATCAAGCCAGCTCTAAGTCACGAGTTCAGAGCATTGACAGATGATTGGCTTTGAGGAATGTTGAGCAGCAGACGGCTGCACATTTTTGCATTTCCCCCAGACTTGTGTTTGAACAGATGTGAGTACAGAGTTTAGTGAGGGCAAAACTCACGTTTAAAGGCACTGCTATTAGAGCAT